TCCCAGGCAGCCTGTGCAGGACACAAGGGAGGCCACTGAGCTGCTGATCAAACACATGAAGGCAAAAGGTTTGCAAGAGTTCTGAGCTTAGCAAATCTTGACTCAATTTTGCTTTAACTGAGAGTCTGGAGATTGCAAGAAACCAGATGTTCTCATAAAGAGAGGGGGAAACAGCAGAGTTTGAGGAGGAAAAAAACCATGTACATATTGTACAGCAACAGTTAAAAAGAGATAAGTAATTTTTGATGAAGTTAATAATTCTAGAGTCTGGATCTTTCAGGAGGAAAAACAAAGAAGGCTTGTTCTCATTATCTCCCTCCTCCTTCTCCTCCTCCTTAAATTCATAGTGTGCACTTTGCCTATTGTCAGGAGGGAAACTGCAGGGAAGTGGGGAAATAATGACATACAAGCCCCCAGACCAAACTATCGCATCCAAGGTATTTTTGTCCCCATCCTCAAATAATTTCACTCTGTCAAACTGCTCCACTCCAACTCACTCTCCAGGCTGCATCCCAGTTTCAAATGGTCCCCAGCCAATTTTGGCCTGGCTTCCAGAGGAATATTACCCACACCTCATATCAAGAGCAAAGCCAACAACCAATTCAGAGACTGTCCCAGGAGCCTCAGGAAACAAAGCCCTGCATCCTGCAGCCTCAACACCAGCTACAGTCACTATCTGTCTCACTGCCTGCATCTGTGCACAGGTGCCTGGGATGTGCCTTTCTATATTATCTGATCAGAGAACACGATTACAGACTGCATCCTTGTTAGTTCCCAGCCTCTGCCCTAACCAAGGCACCCAGCTTTATAATCCAATAGTTACAGCAAGCCTGAAATTCTAACCAGAACTACTATTTACTGTCCTGCAGGGTTGCACTTTTATAGATAAACAGAACAGGAGAAAAGTATATGTCAAAACAGGAGATTCGTGAACTATAACTTTCAGTAAATCTCATCAAATCTTCCAAAATAAAGTTATCATTTCTTGGCTAGGAAATTTGTCATAATAAAACATCTGTTCTCTGATCCATATCAGAGTGCTTAGGGGATACCATGAAAATCTCCACAAGAAATCAGGGATGAATAGCCACAGGTTCATTATGAGGTTCATCATCTTAGTAGCTACAAGTACATGTGAGCTTCCTACTTTAGACCATGTTCATCTCCACATAAAACGTGCTCTCCTGCTGCAACAACCAATGTGTAGGAAAAAAAAAAATCTATGATGCACAGAGCCTCCAACTCAGATACAACATTTCTTCCCTGCATCTTGACCTGAAAAAGTGTAAGCAAGTGTAGGGCATATCACAGCCCATGGAAGAGACCCTGTGTGCCCGTCCACAGGGTAACTGGTCCTGAGCACAGACCATCTGAAGCTGGTTCGCACTCAGCAGTGACTGTGGGATGGCATTCAGAACAGCTACTGCCTGAAAAGAGAAATATTCTTGTTAGATCTATCAGATGAGCAAGAAAGAGAAGGAAGAATCCTATAAAACGTAATATCCTTTTTAAGTCAGGTTAGGATTTTCAAAAAGCCTGTGGTATACCCTGAGGAGTGTCAAAATTATAAAATTATCTCCCTACGCAGATGTAGCTTCCAAGTAAAATACATCCAAAGTAGGCTGTTGACTTGCCTCCATCTCTTGTGCCAAATCTGGGTTATTTTAGGCATTTCCTCAAAGAACTAGACCTCTGCTATTAACATCTGAACACCCCATCCCCAATCAGAGTCCTACCAGAAGTTAAATCATTCTTTTACTTAGCTCACCCTTTCAGACCAACACACCCTGCACAGAAAGTGCACGCTATCCTCCAAGCCCCACAGTGACTTTCTACAGCCAAAACAAGTGTCAGTTTCACAAGGTGTCATACAGCAAAAGCAATCAAAACCCTCAAGCATGCTGAATGCACATCAATAGCAAAGTGGGTCTCGACATGTTTCCTTAACAACATTCTTTCTTTTCTTTTTTTAAGCCTGGCCTTTAGAAAGAGTAGAGAAGTACATCTCAAGGTAGTCACCAGCACAGGGAATATATAACTCAATTACACACACACTAATCACTTGGGTATATTGTCATAATGCAGATTTCAGTCTCAGCAGTCTGAAGTGGGGCCCAGGATTCCAAATCCTCAAGCTAACTTAAGGCAGCTACAGCTTCTTTGAAAGGTATGAATCTAAACAAAGGACTTCACATTGAACGAAGGTCCCTCCCTTCAGGTGTGCTAAAATTCCCACAGGACTCCTTTCATACTAATAGATAATGTTTACCAGATAATTACTTAATGTTCTTATTAATTACTTATTAACCATCCTCATTTTACAGGTAGGGAAACTGAGTCACAGAGTAACTTTTCAAGGTCACAGAGCTTCTGGAGGAAATAGGGTTTGAATTGAGGCAGCCAAACCTCAAAGCTTTTGGGGGGAGCTACTACTCACACTGACTCCCAATAAGAAAAAGCAGCTCTGTCAGGAAGATGGATACTGAGAAGTGAGGACAAGAGAGACTAGGAACTTAGATACAGATTTGGAAAAAATGCAGAGCTCACTGAAGTGCACTGTTCCCACGTAGACACCACCACCAGAGGGAATATATCAGTCAATTACGTTGTACAACTAGGGAAAAAAAAAAACACGTGTATTTTAAATTTTCCAACTGGGCTCCATTAAACACCTTAGCAGATGTTCTCTGAACACTCTTACAACACCCTGCACGCTGTTGAACCACTGTAAAATTCCCAACTATGGGGGAAAAAAGACCATTGGGACCGGGCTTGTGGCCAAGACACTGAGCACGATGCTGGAATTGACTCCCTGGAGCTTCGCTCCTCTGACTCTCTCTCTCTCTGGTCCATTTTGGCCAGAGACAAGGAGAGGGAGGAGTAAGACCCACAGCCGCACCTTGCGCTCCCACAGCCTGGCGGAAAGGCGGTGTCTTTGCAGCGGAGGAGAGAGTGTAAAAGGGGCAACCACCGCATGGCGTGGGCAGCATGCTTCACTTCCCAACCGGGAAACGAGGCCTGCCGGAAGTACTCGAGGTGCTGAATCTCAGTCACTGGGGAACCCGGGGGCCCCTGGAGGTTCGGGTGGCGCTGTCCAAGGTGCCAGCGGTAGCAGCTGGCACACTTTGCCACCTGCGGGGCGGCTGAGCGGCTTTGTCTATCTACCGCAAGGAAACGGGAGGGCGCCGGTCTGAATAAACACGCCTGAAGCCAGGGGCACAGCAAAGCGGCACCTGGTGGGTGGGAAATTTTAGAGAACTGTAGAAGGCAGGCGAGGCAGGGAACCAGCTGGGAAATCGTAGAGACCTACCCTGAGGAGTTATGTGCAACTGCAGCACGCAACACAATGAGAGCTGTCCTCTTTGTGCAGCTCACTGGCAGCTGCGACTGCAAGGACAGGACCCCTCCCCCGCCTCAGGCCCCCACCTAGAAACGTTCAACTCCGGCCCTGGATGGGCAGGGATCACTCGGTGCGGGTGAAACGGGGAGAGAAGAGTGCAGGGAAGAGGTGAGAGGGAGAAGCCCAGGCAGGGGTGGTTGTGGGAGGACGCCAACAGCGGCAGGAAGAATATCAGCTTAGAGATACTCCTCCGTTTCTAATGAGGGGTGCTGCCTAGAAGAACCAGGCGCCAGCCAATCGCGGAGCTGCTGAAGCAGGGACCTGAGGAGGAGAAAGGCAGGCCAGCGACTGAGGTGGGGGTGGCAGAGAGAGGTCCAGGTCCCAGGGAAAGCAAGCCCCGAGCCTGGCGGATACTAGAGCCCTCGCTGCTGGCTCCAGCTATCTCACTGCTGCACACCTGGAGGGTGGGGGTAAGGGGGACGGCGTGCAGAGGAGGGGCTTTCTTTGCAGGTGCACCCTTCCCAAGAAATGTCTCTCCGCAGCACATCAAAGTCTCTGTCTCCAAACCCACCCCCATATTTAACACTGCATCACTAGCTACCTCCTACAAATCCCTCTCCCTTCCCCCAGCCCCCCTTACTAATGGCCTTGCCAGGCATCCAAATTCTTAGAGAAGAGCAAGGCAGTGAGATGCCTAGTCAGCAGCCTGCATTTGGTGTGCTGGATTAAACCTGCAAAGAAGCTCCTTCCATGCCTGTTCACCCTGACACTACCATCATCAAACATGCTCCACGAGCTAATAGCGAACAGCAGTCCCTTTGCAACTAGAGACAGATTGCTTGCACCTCCGGCGCTCAGCAGACAAATTCAGGCCCACCAGATCTGTCTGATCCTAGATACTCAGGAAGCAACCAGCTGAGTTAAGAAACATGAGTACCCACCCAGGACCATGAAAAGGATGGGCCTGAATGAGCTGCTGGTCCTCAGCTGAAAACTCCAACTTTGAACGGTGGTGACAGAGATGGCTTCCCTGACACACACTCAATCCACTTTCAGAGAAATTTAAACTTAGTTCTCAGCCAAAGACTTCTTTCATTTATTAATTTGTCTATTTGTATACATGGTTTTGGTCCAGTGCTCTTGAAGCTTATGAAATGATAAATCCCCTGCCTGCACCTCCACTTGCCTACTGGCAGACTGCAGGTGTCTCCCCAGCTGGCAGGAATGGGGACCCGGGATTGGCACAAGGGTGGAAATGGGAGACTGATTATGAAAGAAAGCTCTGAGCTTAGGGGCTACCCAAGTCTATGCAGAGTGCAGCTCGAGGAAAGACTGAGTGGGTTGGGGGTGACTGGGATTCACACAAAGCCCAGCCCAAAAGGGGGCAGACACTGCAACATCACACACCCAGGGACGCTAGAGACTTCCACATAGGAAAATGCAAAAACCAAAAGTCTTACCTTGAAAAATACTCGTGCCCAAACAGGTCTCCAAGGCACCATGCTTGCCCCTTAGATGAAACAGAGCAGCGAGCGCACTTCAGCAAAGGGGCAAATTGGCACCAGGAAGCAGGGCAGGGAACAAATTCCACGCTAGGCTCCCCCTCACCCGCAGAAGTGCAAAGGGGGAGAGGGGAGTCATGGTGGGCTAGAAAGGATATGGCCAATCGATGAGCTTCTTGGCGTATTTCCTGACAATGTTATCTTCTCCGAAGATGAACAGGGATCTGTTGACGGTGAAACAGTTCTGCCGGACGGGAATGGGGTTGTACAAAGCCATAGTCCGCGCCCTCTGCGCTTTCGACTGCTTGTAGGCGGCCGCCGGCCCCGAGGCCGGCACCGGGGTTCCTTGCCGGTTCCTGCTCTGGTCCGAGTCTCCATCTCCCGACCCCGGCCTGCCGACCACCGCCTCCCCGAAGCGAGCCATCCTGAAGTTTAAACAGACAGAAGACACACAAAGGTGATCGCCGAACACCTGCACACAGCAACAAGCAGAGAGACACACGGAGACTCAGAGCCGCATCCAGAGCCGCGGGGGGGACCACCGCCTCCGGGAGCCCCGCGAGCTCGAGCTCGTGGAAGAGGCGGCAGCCAGCAGCCTCGCCGCTCTGAACTGTTGAATCTAAATACAACCTCCGCGACGCTCCATTCCTCAAGAAGGAAAAGGGGGGTAGGGCTTGGGGGTGCTCAGCTACCGGAGGCAGTTTTTCCCCCCTCAAAATGCCAGTGTGTGGTGGTGATGAGGGGCCGGAGAGAAGACGGGTGAAGTAGGCTGCTCTTCAAACATAGCTCCTCTTCGGGCAGGCGCACCACCTAGTCAGGGAGAGAGGCAGGCACGGCCGCTAGGTAACAGTTTGGTGATTTATTGGCTGGGGGAGGGGTAGGAGGGAGCGGGAAATGGAAACAAAAGAACTTTGAAGAAAAGAAAAAAAAAAAAAAGGCAGGACCGGTTACTGTGACATGCTTTATAACGGCAGCTCCTACAAGTCCATCTAAGAAATTCCACAGCCAAGACTTGGGTCTTTAAATCTACCAGCGCAGACGCATCCAAAGGTTGGAGAGAGAGAGAGGGAGGAGGGAGAGCACTATTGAGGTTCCTGCGTAAACCGCAACGCCCAAAATATCAAAATCAGAAGTCGATCCAGCCGAAGAGGGACAAATGACTTCACAGCTCCTGCGTTTGGGGAAGAAGCTGAGCAGCATCCAGAGAGCAGCGAAGCCCGAGTGCCAGCATCCGCCCGGAGCGCTGCCGCTGTCGCCGCCGCCTCCCCGGATCAGCATGCAACAGCGATCCGCGGCTGCGCCGGGAGAGGGCGGGAGCGCGAGAGGGCGGGCGCTGGGGCGAGGGAGGAACAGGTTGCAGCCAGCCTAGCGGTGGCCCAGCACGGGACTTGTCCAAGGACCGAACTTCCTAAAGACGAGGTCTTCCTCTTCTGCACCAAGCTAAGAAGATGCGGAAGGAGAGTGGGGAGGCAGGCGCGCAGGGCGAGCTCAGAGGCGCAGCGAGGGGGCCCTGGAGCGTGGGGGGGGCGCGGGGGAGGGGCGAGATGCGGCCGGAAGGCGGAAGGGTCCTGGGCGGGAGACTGGTTTGCCTTGTTTGACCGAACAGCACCGGGCCACTCTGCAGTGGTGCAAGGAAGAGTCACCTTTCCCCCAGTGATGCCAACAGTCTGGCGCAGCGACACGGCAATCTCCGCTAGAGAGCGGGGACTAGCGTGGAGCGCACACGCACGCGCGCCTCCGGTCCCCGCAGAATGGGGTCCCTCGTGCAGAGCCTTGTTGAGCAACTGGCGCGGTACTGAGCTCGCCGCCGCCCTAGCTGGGAATCCGGGCCTTAGCGCCCTGCGCGCTGCTCACCAGGACCGCATCGCTGCTGCTCTGCACTTCCTGAGCTCTACGCACATCGCCAGGGATTTCCACAGAGAAGACAGCACCCTAGCTCCTTCTCCCCACTTAGTTGCCAGGAGTCCCGTTGGGAAGGCTGGGATTACTGGGGGTTCCACTGTGGAGGAAGCCTCTGCCCTCCTCCTTAATGGCATCAGCCCAGCCACCGGGGTTAGACTCCAGTAGAGCCCAGTGCCTCACCTCCTAAAAGATTATCCATTTATTCCTGTGCTTGAAGGTGAGGGCTGAGCTGAAACTTTCCTTCTCACAATCCTAACAGAGGGTCTCTCTGGCTCCCACATTTTACATCCAAATAACCACCACTGACTTGATTCCACCTATTCTTATTAAAAAAGGGGAAAAAAGCCGAAGTAGGATCTGAGCAGCAGATAGGAAAGGGAGACCACAAGCTCGAAAAGAAGAACCCTCGTGTTTAGCAGCAAAATCCTCTTACAGGTGATTCAGTGTACCAGCTGTCTCCTGTGTCGGCACTAGCCGAACCACGCCTTTCTGTCCTTTTTCCTGCCTTGGGTGAATGCATAGTTGTGCCCAAACTCTCCCCAGCTGAGCAATGGAAGGGAAACTAGGAGTGACTGGGGAAAGAAACAGGCTGACCCAAGCCTAGAAGCTGGAAGTCATGAGTTAGTGTAGCCTTGTGTGTGTGAAAGGCAGTTTCTGTGTGTGTGAGGTTAACTGGTGAAAGGCGAGGTAACTCCTGCGTGCAAGTTTGTTCATATGGGTCGGTGCATGGATGAGACCAAGTGAGTACTGGCATATGTCTGTCTAGTGTGTGAGAATGTCTGTGCATATGGATGAGTGTGTGTGTGTGTGTGTGTGTGTGTGTGTGTGTGTGTGATTGTGCACATTTGAAGGAAAATGCTTGGAGTATGGGAAGCCCAAAAGAAGGTCTCAGCCTGTCACCATCCTCCGGCAGCACGGCTGACCTTGAGGACAGCATGTTGACCTTTTGATTCAGGGGTGTTTATTTCAGGCCAAATTACTATTCAAGGTGAATCAACTCTAATTGTTATTTTGATTTCATTTTACTGCCTTTCTCAGTCCTTTCTTGTGGCTTAATTGGAGTCCTCTGCTTTCTGAATATTTAGCCAAAAAGGGTTGAGGGTTGTGCTGTGACCAGGAATTGATTAACCAGACAGTAATTTAGAACCAGTTACAGTGGTTGTCTCAGTACCCTGTAAATTTCATAGGACCAGAAAGGGCTTTCTGAAATCATCAAGTAAATGTCTATACTTTCCAGGAGGACCATAGTTCATTGCACGAAAATTCACTCAAATCATTCATTTGACAAATATGTGCATGTACCTTTCATGCAGCAGGCACTGTTTGAGACACAGGATTTGATAATGAACAAAATGCAGAATGCCATACATAATGTACCTTCTTAGCATGAATCAAATTGTATAGCCTCCCTGGCTAAAATGATCACAGACTTTACTCTCGTGGTGAGACTTCACCTCTTTCCTTCCTTCACAGTGCACTTTGATGCCTGTTTGTTGACACTCAGGATAAGCAGGGCTTCCTTGCCTCTTACCTCCCACAAGTAACTGTTGGAAAATTGGGGACCCTGACTTGTCTCCTCAGTGCCACCCACTGAGCAAAGATCCAATGCTAATTCCCTGTCTTGTCAGTACCATGCCCTGCATTTTCTGTGGCTGCTGTAATTTTTAAGAGATCTGAAATAGGATATTAAACGTGTACTCATGAGTAGCTGAGACCTGCCTTCCTGCCCCTCAAGAGGCAGGCTTTACAAATGCTGGCTGGGAATCCCACGGAATACACTGAGAGAAAGCACCTGTGCAGAAGAGTTACTAGGAGGATTCTGGAAGCTCAAGAGGACAGGGCAATCATGGTAGCATCAATAGCCTTGGGAAGGGACTTGGCCTACAGGTAGCCATGCTGATAAGAAGGCATATTCTCTGCTACACTCTTTATCTAGCTGTCACAGATTTTGAAACCTCCCACATCTATGAATTTCTATATTGGTTTCTTGCTTTCCAATCCTCCATTCTCCTAGCTGCCAGATGGCTATAATTTTATTGATTAAATTTTTAAATGTATTTGATTATTGATTTCCATAAAAACCTACAGCTGGCCCTCACTGCAAACCTCTGAGGTCAGTCTGGCAACACACATATTATGACCATGATGTGACTCACAAAGCAGCAGAGTTTAAGAAATGTGAAGTGTGCTCAGGTCTAATAAGAGGCAGTGTGGACTTCTAACAAATCTGCTTTCCAGTTCTAGGAGTACCTCTGTTGCATAATTCCGAATTGTTCATCAACAAGAAAAGAAATGCTACAAAGACACTATATCTGTGGAAATTCTGTGCTTACTGTCCTCTTGGCACCATGCTAGGATAGCACTTAATGGGAACATGGCTACTGCCCTCAGGAGACACTATTGCCATAATGTCCCTATAAGAGAACCTCGTGGGCATTTGTCTTCCAGTCCCTTTAAAGACTCCTAAGTAGAAATGTGGGAAATCAACTGAACTCTTAACTGGAAACCTCTTTGAAAACCATTTGAAAAACCCTTTCCAGCCTCAGTGACAGTAGCCCTTATTTTCCTGTTGTCAGAGCACCATCTACTGGTAGTTTGTGAGACGTCACTGTGAACACAGGCACTTGGCATCCTGGCATCCCAGCAGTCCACATATGCGCCTCAGACCCCAGACATTCCTAACAATTGATCTCTGACCACCAGTCTTTTACTCCTCTATAGAAATTTATGAGGTTCAGTCCTTAAATTTCACAACAGTTCAACCAGCTCACCTTACAGTCCTGAAAAGTATAGCTCTACATACTGGGTATAGTTCACTACCACACACCATACTACAAAAAGTAAGACACAGCAACCAAATGCCTTCAGTGTTTTTATACAAGCAGTGACCTGCACCGTAGAAGCCCAACAGGAGCAAAGAAATTGAGTGAAAGACTTTCCCAGATTATTGATCCTGTGAAAATTATTAAATTTCCAATCCTTTACCCTATTGCCCTGCTATTCAGGAAACCATCCAAGATGCAAGCAAGAGAGACACATATTAGTGGGCAATTCCTTCAGCCTCCTCTGTAAAAGAGAAAGAACAAGGTGGGTCACAGTGTTCCCAGATCAGGCATACCACAGGTGCGTGTGAGCGGCAAGGTTAGACAATTAGTCAACCTATTCCCCAATTCATAAAGTTTCCCAGGTCAGATACTCCTGGGTCATTTTCCCATTAGGCCATCACTAAGGAATCTGCAAATCTGGGCCTCATCCAAAAGGTCCCTCCCACCAGCCCTGCTCTCTCATCTGCCCCCACCCTGTCAGTTTCACTTAGATAACTTATGCTTAACTATCAGAACCCCTTTTGTTCTATTTTTCCCGTTGAGCTTTTCCAAGAAATAGACTCTTATGCAAAGCAGTGCTCAAAGGAACATAATGCAGAGAGGATTTGGGAGTGGGTTCTTAAGAAAAAGGTTGGCAAGAAATCATGTGCAAATGCATAGCAGAGCAGAGGAGCAGGATGGCAACGCAGACAGCTCAG